ATGAAGCCCCTATCCTGATTCACTAAATTGTAATAAATATTTCACAAATATAGCATCTATTATCATAAATATTTGAGAATTCTAAGCCAGAGTACTTTTTTTCTCTTTCTTTCTTTCTTTCTTTTTTTTTTTTTTTTTTTTGAGACACAGTCTCAGAAACAGCTACCTTGTCACCCAGGCTGGAGTTCAATGGTGTGATCATGGCTCACTGCAGCGTCCACCTCTGGGGCTCAAGCAATCCTCCCACCTCAGCCTCCCAAATAGCTGGGATTACAGGCATGTGCCATCACACCCAACAACTTTTGTATTTTCACTAGAAACAGGGTTTCACCATGTTGGCCAGGCTGGTCTCAAACTCCTGGCCTCAAGCGATCTACCACATTCGTTCCCAGAGTGCTGTGTTACAGACATGAGCCAACATATCCAGCCTCCAGGTAATCTTTGTATTTTTTGTAGATGGGATTGCACCATGTTGCCCAGGATGGTCTCCAACTTCTGAGCTCAAGTGATCCACCCACATGGCCTCCCAAAGTACTCACTCCAACCTGGGTGACAGAGGGAGACTACATCGCTAAAAAACTAAAAAATAAATAAAAATTTAAAAATATTTAAGTCTGCCAGGTGCAGTGGCTCACACTGGTAATCCCAGCACTTTGGGAGGCCAAGGCGGGCAGATCACAAGGTCAGGAGATTGAGACCATCCTGGCCAACATGGTGAAATCCCATCTCTACTAAAAAACAAAAAAAATGGCCAAGCATGGTGGCACACACCTGTACTCCCAGGTACTTGGGAGGCTGAGGCAGGAAAATTGCTTGAACCCAGGAGGCAGAGGTTGCAGTGAGCCAAGATCATGCCACTGCACTCCAGCCTAGCAACAGAATGATACTCCATCTCAAAAAAAAAAAAAAAAAAAAAAAAAAAAAAAAAAAAAAAATTAAGTACAGCCAGGCATAGTGGCTTACACCTATAATCCCAGCTGTTTGGGAGACCAAGATGGGCAGATCACGAGGTCAGGAGTTTGAGACCAACTTGGCCAACTTGGTGAAACCTCATCTCTACTAAAAATACAAAAAATTGCCGGGCGCGGTGGCTCAAGCCTGTAATCCCAGCACTTTGGGAGGCCGAGGCGGGTGGATCACGAGGTCGAGAGATCGAGACCATCCTAGTCAACATGGTGAAACCCCGTCTCTACCAAAAATACAAAAAATTAGCTGGGCATGGTGGTGCGTGCCTGTAATCCCAGCTACTCAGGAGGCTGAGGCAGGAGAATTGCCTGACCCCAGGAGGCGGAGGTTGCGGTGAGCCGAGATCGCGCCATTGCACTCCAGCCTGGGTAACAAGGGCGAAACTCCGTCTCAAAAAAAAAAAAAAAAAAAAAATTAGCTGGGCATGGTGGCATGTGCCTATAATCCCAGCTACTCAGGAGGCTGAGACAGAAGAATTGCTTGAACCTGGGAGGTAGAGGTTGCAGTGAGCTGAGATTATACCACGGCACTCCAGCTTGAGCAACAGAGAGAGACTCCATCTCAAAAAGAAAAAACCTATATATATGTCTATATATATACACACACACACACATACACACACTTTATATATACAAATATATCCTTTATATGTATTTATATATATACTTTTTTATATATAAACATATATATACTCTCTATATATACTTTATATACATATATACATATACTTCCCATGAATATTGTACAAACTTACATTGCAATCAGCAATCTAATCAACACTGGTTTTCATCACTTACATTTTTACTTTTGCTGATTTTATAAGATAAAATATTGGCCAGCGGTGGCTCATGGCTGAATCCCAGTACTTTGGGAGGTCAAGGCATACAAATCACCAGAGGTCAAAAGTTTGAGACCAGCCTGGGCAACATGGTGAAACCCCATCTCTACTGAAAATACAAAAATTAGCCAGGCTTGATGGTGCACACCTATAATCCCAGCTACACCAGAGGCTGAGGCAGGAGAATCGCTTTAATCCAGGAGGTGGAGGTTGTGGAGAGCCGAGATCGCGCCACTACACTCCAGCCTGGGCAGCAGAGGGAAACTCCCTCTCATCTCAGAAAAAAAAAAGAAAGAAAGAATTTCATTAGTCGCATTTCCTCTTTTGTGTATTTTTTATTCATGTTGTTTGGCCATTTATTGTTAGAAATTTAGTGGCTTTCTTGTTGATTTGCATGAGTTACTTATGGCCATTTGCCTTACTTTAGCCATTTGCCTTCTAGATTTGCTCTGAAATTTTCCAAGTTTGTTATTTGCCTTTCAATTTTAATTTTTTAATATTTTAATTATAAATTACTTACATATTATATGTAAATATAATATATATAATCTATGCATTTATATAATTTAATACTTTTTATTTTCTTTTAGTTTTCCGTGGCTATATTTTTTAAATTGTGGTAAAATACAAGTCATATGAAACTTACCATCTTTTTTTTTTTTTTTTGAGATGGAGTTTTGCTCTTGTTACCCAGGCTGGAGTGCAATGACGCAATCTCGGCTCACCGCAACCTCCACCTCCTGGGTTCAGGCAATTCTCCTGCCTCAGCCTCCTGAGTAGCTGGGATTACAGGTATGTGCCACCATGCCCAGCTAATTTTTTGTATTTTTAGTAGAGACGGGGTTTCACCACGTTGACCAGGATGGTCTCGATCTCTCGATCTCGTGATCCACCCGCCTCGGCTCCCAAAGTGCTGGGATTACAAGCTTGAGCCACCGCTCCTGGCCTGAAATTTACCATCTTAACCATTTCTGTGACTATACATTTTTGAATTAAATATATTTGTGAGGGTCTAAATTATTACATTTAAATTTTTCTTTTCTTTGAGACGGAGTTTCACTCTTGCTACCCAGGCTGGAGTGCAATGGCACCATCTCGGCTCACCGCAACCTCCACCTCCTGGGTTCAGGCAATTCTCCTGCCTCAGCCTCCTGAGTAGCTGGGATTACAGGCACGCGCCACCATGCCCAGCTAATTTTTTGTATTTTTAGTAGAGACAGGGTTTCACCATGTTGACCAGGATGGTCTTGATCTCTTGACCTCGTGATCCACCCGCCTCGGCCTCCCAAAGTGCTAGGATTACAGGCTTGAGCCACCGTGCCCGGCCTAAAGTTTTATTTTCATAAATAGTAAATAATTGTACTAACTCCATTCATTCAGTAGAATATCATTAAGCATTTACTCCAATAAGGAATGATAAAAATTGCCGGGCGCGGTGGCTCACACCTGTAATCCCAGCACTTTGGAAGGCTTAGGTGGGCAGATCACCTGAGGTCAGGAGTTCAAGACCAGCCTGACCAATATGGTGAAACCCCATCTTAAAATTTAAAAAAAAAAGAATGATAAAAATTTAGATAGGAGATATTCTTTTTTTTTTTTTTTTTTTTTTGAGACAGAGTCTTGCTCTGTTGCTAGGCTGGAGTTCAGTGGCATGATCTCTCAGCTCAGTGCAACCTCCACCTCCTGGGTTCAAGCAATTCTCCTGCCTCAGCCTCCCAAGTAACTGGGACTACGGGAGCGCACCACATGTCTGGCTAATTTTTGTATTTTTAGTAGATACCAGGTTTCACCATGTTGGCCAGCATAGTCTTCATCTCTTGACCTCGTGATCTGCCCACCTTGGCCTCCCAAAGTGCTGGAATTATAGGCCTGAGCTACCGTGCCAGGCCAAGCTTTTTCTTTCCTTTTTAAAAATAAGTACTACCTATTCCTCAAGTGAACTTTCAGAATAATTTTCTTTTTTAAAAAAAATTTTGAGATGGAGTGCTCTGTCACCCAGGCTGGAGTGCAGTGGCTCAATTTCAGCTCACTGCAACCTCCACCTCCCAGGTTCAAGAGATTCTCCTGTCTCAGCCTTCCGAGTAGCTGGGATTACAGGCACTCGCCACCACGCCCAGTTAATCATATTTTTAGTAGAGACAGGGTTTCAACATATCGGCCAGGCTGGTCTAGAACTCCTAACCTCAAGTGATCTGCCTGCCTTAGCCTCCCAAAGTGGTGGGATTACAGGCATCAACCACTGTGCCAGCCTTGCATAATAATTTTCTTGAACTAAAATTTGGGATTCGGCCAAACATGGTGGCTCACACCTATACGCCCAAGCACTTTTAGGAGTCCGAGGCAGAAGGACTGTTTGAGCCCAGGAGTTCAAGACCAGCGTGGGGGACATAGCTAGACCCCACCTCTACCAAAAAATCAAAAATCAGCTGGGCGTGGTAGCATGTGCCTGTTGTCCCAGCTACTCAGGAGGCTGAGGTGGGAGGACTGCTTAAGCCTGGATAGTTGAGGCCGCAGTCAGGCTGTGATCATACCACTGCACTCCAGCCTGGGCTCCAAAGTGAGACTCTTATTAAAAATTAATTAATTAATTAAAAATTAGAGATTAGAGAATTTTAGTTAAGTTAAATAAAAAAATTAAAAATAAGATTACAGATCAAAGGATTTTAGTTAAGTTAGATGTATTAAATCGAAAAGTATTCCATTTTTCCATCCACAAAGTGCTGTGTTTTTTCATTCAAGTCTTCTTTCAAGCCTACCAATACATTTTTATAATTTTCTTAAACTAGGTAACATATATTAAGATTGTTCTATAATTTTGTGGAGAAGTTAATTTCTTATTGTATTTTCTAATTATTTATTATTGGTAGGTCAGAATGCTATTCACCTGTATGTGTTATTTTTCTTGATATGTGAGATTATAAAATTACCACGCGAAAACTCTAAATGTAGAAAAGGTATATACCTTATTGAAAATGTTCAAAACATTCAAAGAAGATTTGGGTCAATATGAAAGGCTACACAGAAAATCATGTGATTTTAATTCAGTGGTTACATACGAGTTAGTTACACACTCAAACTCTTGTCACTGATGCATTTTCATCTAATTTTTCCCATAATGAGAGAGAAGGAGACGCGTTGGTGACTGCAATAGGGCCACCTCCTTCAAATTACGTTGCTCTCTATGACCCACCCTAAGTCTCCCAGTTCAAGCTAATCATTGACAGAGCTTTACAATCACAAGCTTTTACTGAAGCTTTGATAAGACAGTCCAGCAGTTGGTGGCAAATGAAGCCAGGCTGTGCGGCAGGATCTCCAGGGAATGAATGGATTTTCTTCAGCACCGATGAAATGACCATACGCTATAGGAATACAATGTCCAACGGGGGACTGCAAAGATCTGTCATCCTGTCAGCACTTATTCTGCTACGAGCTGTGACTGGACTCTCTGGAGATGGAAGAGCTATATGGTCTAAAAATCCTAATTTTACTCCGGTAAATGAAAGTCAGCTGTTTCTCTATGACACTTTCCCTAAAAACTTTTTCTGGGGTGTTGGCACTGGAGCATTCCAAGTGGAAGAGAGTTGGAAGAAGGATGGAAAAGGACCTTCTATATGGGATCATTTCGTCCACACACACTTTAAAAACGTCAACAGCACGAATGGTTCCAGTGACAGTTACATTTTTCTGGAAAAAGACTTATCAGCCTTGGATTTTATAGGAGTTTCTTTTTATCAATTTTCAATTTCCTGGCCAAGGCTTTTCCCCGATGGGATAGTAACAGTTGCCAACGCAAAAGGTCTCCAGTACTACAATACTCTTCTGGACGCTCTAGTGCTTAGAAACATCGAACCTATAGTTACTTTATACCACTGGGATTTGCCTTTGGCGCTACAAGAAAAATATGGGGGGTGGAAAAATGATACCATAATAGACATCTTTAATGACTATGCCACATACTGTTTCCAGACGTTTGGGGACCGTGTCAAATATTGGATTACAATTCACAACCCATATCTAGTGGCTTGGCATGGGTATAGGACAGGTATCCATGCCCCTGGAGAGAAAGGAAATTTAGCAGCTGTCTACACTGTGGGACACAACTTGATCAAGGTACTGTACAGCTAGCTTCTTATTATAGCTTCAGAAAATACTAAGATATGTACCTTCTGTTTCATTGAAATCAAGGCAACTGATTTTAGGCTAATTCACAAGATCTATCCTCAAATTTTGTATTTCAGTTAGTGTATGTTTTATTTATCTAAGCTATTTTTAATGTATTAATCCAACTAGTTTCTTCAAAAGTTGCACTCTGAGGTTATTTTTAAGTCTATGATTACACACTACAGTGTGAAAATATGACCTTACTTTTATTCTGTGGGAACACAGTGCTTTATAAATTTGATTGTTGGAATCCTTTTCTGACAACATGCAATCATTTCAGAATTATCTTAAGACACAACCATTTCAAGTATGTATTTGTTGTTAAGTATAGCTAACTTAGCTAACAAGTAAAAGTAAGTAAATAAGTAAGCTAAATATTTGTTAGCTAACTTATGCATATCAAATACAGAAATTTAAATATGCTTCACATTTGATTTTATTTGTGTTACATAACAAAAAAGAGAAGATTAATTGTTCTGGGAGTTAGACACATTTTTTTCCCATAAAAACTGGGAAGAATGTGCTCTACTAAAGCAATTTCCAAGCAGTGTATTTCAAAAGCTAGAGATTATGTTGAGAAATGTTAAAATTAGTAAAATGATAGTGAAAATGCAAGCAAAATAATAGGTGATACTTACTGAGTACTTATTATGTACTGCAGACTACATTAAGTATTTTACATGCATCGTCACAGTTGATCCTCTTAACAGCCTTATGAATTAGTCTTATTATTATTCCCATTTTAAAGATGAGAAAATCGAAGCTTAATGAGGTTAAATAATTTTCCCAAGGTTAAGGAGTAAAATACAGCTGTTGTGGACACGGAATTTTTTAAATGACAACATAATTAACACTAACTGTCTTCAGTAAGAATGTTTTGAAAAGAAGGCTCTTTCAGGAATTTTCCAGAGATTTAGCCTCACATTGAGGCTAATATCTAGAATTGGATTTAACTTTTTGAGTCAGACGGTTTACTTGGGAAATATACGTTATTCAAAACACCAATCACATTTTTAAAATGAAAAAACTTTATCAACATAATTTTATAATGTGCTACAAAAAGTAATTGAATTATTAATAATCAAAAGCTAAATATACAGAAATGGAAAAAAACATAAAGCAGCATAAAAATAATTCCATGTCTAAATTTGTACATACAAAAATATCTGCTACCACTTCTTTTCTTTTTGAAATTCCTGGATTATTACACACATGTATTATACTATGGTTTCAGACACATCTGCCCTTGCAGTAAACAGACTGCATTATGATTTCAAGGTCATTTGCACAACTTTGAATAGAGTTGTATATAGAACATATTAATGGGTGGGTATACTGTGATTTGACAAAATAAGACCTTGAAGGGGAGAAATTGTGTAGGTATTTAATAGTTATCAAGATGATGCATACAAAAATTAGAAAAATATTCCTTTCATTTAGTCCTTTTAATTATTATTATTATTATTATTATTATTATTTTAGACAGAGTCTCACTCTATCACCCAGGCTGGAGTGCAGTGGTGTGATCCTGGCTCACTGCAACCTCTGCTTCCTGGGTTCAAGTGATTCTTCAGCCTCAGCCTCCTGAGTAGCTGGGACTACAGGCATGTGCCACCATGCCCGGTTAATTTTTGTATTTTTAGTAGAGACAATTTCACTATGTTGGCCAGGCTGGTCTCAAACTCCTGACCCCATGATCTGCCCACCTTAGCCTTCCAAAGTGCTGAGATACAGGTGTGAGCCACTGCATCCGGCCAGTCCTTTTAACTATTAAAACAATCCATGCTTAGGCACATTTAAAAATATCAGATTGTACCAAAGGATCTAAAGTGAAAAAATTAAATCCCTCTCCCTCTCTCCACCTGATAATCCCAGGCCAAGGACGCTACTGTTAATAGTTTCTTATACATTCTTTTTAAAGTTTTCTATGCAAATACATGCATGAATATGTTTATTTAATCTTTGTATGAAGAAAAATATTCTAAATTGTTGAAAAGTCATTACCTGGAAAAATGTCAACAATTAGAGTTTTCATGAAAAATGTATTTTAAGGATTAATTTAAAGCCTTAAATTTGGCTGATAAGAATAAACAGGCAAAAAGCTTTAACTAACAGATAATGCTTTCAAACTTAGCTGATAAACTGACATATTTTCAGATGTTTTTTCATTGTCCTCTAATTTAAGAGAATCTCTGCCTTTAACACAAAATTACCACTTTCTGATAGTGAGATAAATTTTATTCTTTAAATGGAGGGATATTTTTTCAACTATTGTGTTTTCCAAATAATGTTTTTATTGCCTTAATATTTCTAAATCACTAGACTAAATAAATGGTGTGAGGGGTCCTTGAAATCACTCAGAAAGTGAAATACGAGGCATGACCCAGTGACTTATAGCACTAAAGAAATCTTGCAATGATTTGGTAGCCTGAGGTGAACTTGTTTTTCCCACTTGTCCCTTCGCTATCTTGACTTTCATGTAGAAAACATAAATCTGATATTTTATGTTGCAATGAAGTCTTTCTTCCTTATCCTGCCCCCTTGTGACCCAGAAGAAGCATTCTTTAGGAATCGTTTTTTGACCAAAAACATTTATGGAGCTACACAAGCCTAATATAAAACTGAATTCCGTGGAGGGTGGGGGGTTTGGGACCCCTTCATTCCCTTCTTCTCAGATAGAGAAAATATTTCATACTGGCTATTGGGGTCCTTGTTGTTCCAGAATGATCTGGAAAACTCCATCTCGGTTTGAAATGTCCCCGTTTGGAGGAAACCTGAAAGGTCCAGAGGGTCCCAAGACTGACTTGCAAAGATTCCACTTCAGTGCAGATCTAGGGAGTACCTTAATGCAAGTCTAAGACTCAGGCCAAAAATTTCCATAATCACACCTACAATGGGTGCTTCAACTCTAAGTTTTTAACAGTATTTGAAATAGAATGAGAATGCGTTTTTTTGGCTTGGCCTTTTTTTTTTTTTTTTTTTTTTTTTTTTTTTTTTTTGTCTTTTTGTTTTTTTCCTTTTGTGGAGAATGGGGTCTCGCTATATTGCCCAGGCAAGTCTTGAACTCCTGGGCTCAAGCTATCCTCCCGTGTCTGCCTCCCCAGGAGCTGGAATTACAGGCGTGAGCCACAGCACCCGGCTGGCTTGGCCATTTTTAAGCAAGGTAATCATCACTTTAAATATCATCTATAGGCCCGGCACAGTTGCTCATTTCTGTAATCCCAGCACCTTGGAAGGCCAAGACTGGAGGATTGCTTGAGCCTAAGAGTCAAGACCAACCTGGGCAACGTAGCAAAACCTCAATCTCTATTTAAAAAGAAAAAGAAAAAAGAAATAATATCTATATATTCTAAGTGAACTAATTCGAGAATAGAAAACCAAATACCATGTGTTCTCTCCTATGGGTATACCAAGCTTATGTGTGCTTTTGCATACTCATAGCTTAGCTCCTGCTATATAACAATGATATAATGGAGTAGGTATACAGACTATACCTATATACAGAAGAATATAATGAACTTTGGAGGCTCAGAAGGGGAAGCTGGGAGGGGAGTAAGGGATTTAAAAACTACATGTTGGGTACAGTGTATGCTCCTCTGGTGACGGGTGCACTAAACTCTCAGACTTCACCACCATACAATTCATCCATGTAACCAAAAACCAGTTGTACCCCAAAAGTTATTGACATTTTAAAGATATTTTTAAAAAGAGAACTATTATGAACATTTGCATTCCAAAAGGACATAAATATCTATACTCTTTGCAACAAACTTGCCAGGTAACTATTATCCTCATCTTACAGTGTGATCTTCTGAACATGCATCATATTGCTCCCCTATGTAAAATCCATTAGTGGCTCCCCCACGTTTGGGGGATAAAGTCTCGATTTTTCACCAGGACCTTTGAGACGCAATTCCCATCCTCCTTCCTGGCTACTCTCCCATCCTCTTGTACTTCATGTTCTATCATAACACACAACTGCCGGTGTCTCAATCTCTCCACCCAGCCTCCACGATCCCGCTCTGTCTAGCTAAACTGTCCTCTTTACTTGGTGATGGTTACCCCACCCAAGTTGTTCTTGCCTATGTAGGGTTCAAGTGCCCCTTCTGTGGCCTCCCGTAAGAAAGGCTTGTTTCTAGCTTAGTACTCACACGATATGATACCTTTCCATCTCCCCAACTAGACTGAGAATTCTATCAAAGGAGAAACAATTTTATTTATTTATTTATTTATTTATTTAGACGGAGTCTCTCTGTGGCCAGGCTGGAGCGCAGTGGTGCAATCTCAGCTCACTGCAACCTCCACCTCCCAGGTTCAAGCAATTCTCCTGCTTCAGCCGCCCAAATAGCTGGGATTACAGGCATTCACCACCAACACCCAGCTAATTTTTGCATTTTTAGTAGAGACAAGGTTTCACCATGTTAGCCAGAATGGTCTCTATCTCCGTGATCTGCTCACCTCAGCCTCCCAAAGTGCTGGGATTACAGGTGTGAGCCACTGTGCTCGGGCTCGCCAGGAGAGACAATTTTTAAATTTGCCTTTATGTTCTCAGCACGTAGCACAGAATATTTGTACATGTTAGGTTTAAATGTTGGTTAAATGAGTGGTTTAGGACTTTCTTTTTTTTTTTTTTTTTTTTTTTTTGAGACAGAGTCTTGCTCTGTTGCCAGGCGCCAGGCTGGAGTACAGTAGCAGGATCTCAGCTTACTGCAACCTCTGCCTCCCTGGTTCAAGCAATTCTCCTGCCTCAGCCTCCCAAGTAGCTGGGACTACAGGCGCTTGCTGCCATGCCCAGCTAATATTTGTATTTTTTAGTAAAGACGGGGTTTCACCATGTTGGCCAGAATGGTCTCTATCTCTTGACCTCCCAAAGTGCTGGGATTATAGGCGCGAGCCACTGTACCTGGCGAATGGTTTAGGATTTCTATCTTAAATCCTGTAATCAAAAT